CAGTACTGACTACCCACTTAGAGCCTCACCTCACACCAGTCCACAAAGTACATTATGTGATTGCTATGGTTTGAATGTTTGCCTCTCTCTCCAGATTCATATGTTGAAAACCTAATGCCCAAGGATGGTTTTAGGAGGTGGGGCCTCTGATAGGCAATTAGGCCCTGACAGCAGAGTCCTCATAAACGGGATCAGAGCCTCTATAAAAGAGTCTCCCGAGAGATTCCTAGCTCTTTCCACATGTGAGGATACAAGGAGGTCTGCATCCTGGAGGATGGCCCTCACTCGACCCTGGAGGCACCCTGATCTTAGACTTCCAGCCTCCAGAACTGTGAGATATAAATATCTGTTATTTGTAAGCTACCCAGTCTGTGGTATTTTGTTAACATAGCCCAAATGGACTAAGATAATTTTACATGGATTAAAAACCTAAATTAATAAGATTGATGGCAATAAGGCTGGTAAATAAGAAAGGCCTCAAATAAAGCAAAAAGAAAAAAAAGTTGAAATGTGAATACATCAAAGTTGAAAATGTCAAGTCATCTTTTGTCATGCATTAAGTTAAAAGTTAAGAAATTAAGACAAGCCACAGGCAGGAAGAAAGTATTTGCAACATCTATTAAGCTAAGGGAGTAATATCTAGAATACACAGCGAACTCGCAACACAAAGCAAAGGATATAAATAGGTAACTGAGGTAAGAGAAAACAGAAATGGTCCATAAATGTATGAAAATATGCACAGCTTACTAGGAAATCAGGCAATAGTGAATTAAAACAAAGAGATACAATGGTTGCATCAGATTGCAAAAATTAAAATATTCCTTAATAGTGCTGGTGGAGCTTGAGGGAACAGTTCCTCTCACATAAGACTGGCAGGATTATAAAATGACACAGCTATTAAATAAAATTTAGGATATGTATAGCCTTCAATCAGCAATCGTACTTCTGAGAATTTACCTCAGGGAAACTCTGACCCATATACCCAGAGAGGGATACATATTATTATACTTTATATTATAGGACTGTTTTCTATAGCCCAAAATTAGAAATAAACACCAAAAGGCCATCAAGAGAAATTTTTACTCTTTTAATAAAATTTAGTAATCCATTCCATGAGACATGAGAGAGCAATTTAAAAGAACGAGGTAGATACACTTGTTCTTCCATGAATAGTTCTTTAAGACATCTGTAAAGTGAAAAGCAAGTTTGTGGAACAGTCAAAATAATATGATTTCATTTAGGATACAAATGGATATAAACAAAACAAAATGAAATATTTCCATAGCTAATGCATGTACAACTTCATTAAAAACGAGACCTTGAAAGATACCATGAAGCTATTACCAGTAATTGATTCTGGAAAGAGGACTAGGATTGGGGTCAATGGTTGGGAGGGGTTAAGGACATTTATACTACTTGACTCTCTTACACAAGGAACATGTTTGCTCATTATCTGCAAAATTGGAAATAAATAAAATCAGTAACAAAAAGAGAAAGGTGTAGAAGTCCTTCATTTAAAATGTATAGTATTTTCTACTATTCCTTTTAAATTTAATTATGTGTTCCTCTCCCCCTTCCCCAAGCTCCTGTTTTAGGGATACAAGGAAGAGTTTACTGAACTATATTGAACTTCCTGGATCTGAGCTAGTAGTGACTCGTTTTATTTTTACACCAACCTTGGAGCAGAAGAAGGGCATCAAGTTGCAAGGCAAAGGTCTACTTTGTTTCATATTCTAGCAGGATAGGTTTTTATTAGCTCTTAACCATTGACCCCTTTTTTCTTCTCTAGCTTTTCTTCCAAAACTATGATGCAGATTTTCTTGTAGTTCACTTGGTTTTCAGGGCTAACACTTTCTGTGTTGGTTTCTGGTTCCCATATGGCATAGCTCCAAAGAAAAGTCATAGCCTAATGGAGACAACCCCTTATGTACTCAGGCTGTGCAGAAGCCCCTTTTCACCCATGATTACAAATAGACAGATCCTCTTCACATAGTATACACTGACATAAGAAAAACACCATGCTTACAATAGTCATCTTCAGAAACTCGTTTTTGCTAATTACAGCTAATAAGATTTACAGAGCCAACAATACAGAGGAAAGAATGATGAAAATTAGTGCAGAGCTGGTACAAAGCATGAACATTTATCCCAGAAGATGATATGCATATTTATCTGCTTCCACCAACCCTAAACATTCTTTCAATGTTTCACCAAAGCACATGTCTGCTACCTCAGAATAACTTGCTAGTTCTGGTTTTTAATTCCTAAATCTATCATCTGAGCTGTCTATCTTCTTTGCCACTTATCACTTCTATGGTGACAAATCAAAGGATGGGGTTAGGGAAGGGAACATGTCATGGTCTAGAGAGGGTGAAATCAGTGACTTGAAATGGGTGGCTCTGGTCCATGGTATAATGTATCTATAACAGGAGAGAGGGGACATGGGTAAGATACTGAGGAAAATGTTAGGATTTTCCTCCAGTGCCATAAAGAGAAAGATCTCGTAGTGATTTGCTTTACTTAAAGCCACTCAGCTCGCCTCTGAGCAGAAGAGGCATCTGATGTTTACCAAATCGAAGCGTTTGGACATAGGCTTCATGGACAAAGGAGAAATGTGTCTAGAAGAAATCGGAAGGGGGAAAAGAGGCTTATTACAATAAGTCCCAAGGCAAGCTTCAAACCAATGGAGAGCACAGTGTACAAAACCAAGGGATAACCTTAAAAGTATCATTTTTTTTCTCTGAGCTATCATCTCTATAATACATGTGATAGATTAACATCACTAAGAGTAATTGTCAGCAAACAATTATTTTAAAGAAACTGGACCTCTAAGTCACATTGTGATTGCACTATTCGACCGGTACCATTAAATGGTCTTATGCAAAAACATGGACTAAAAGCTTGGCGTGCCATCCTCACTTGCGAGCACCATTTATTTCTTCTAGCATACATTTACTCTAATATATCACTTACAGGAGTCCTTCTCTTAGTAGTGGCTGCATCACTCTTTCTGGTTCCAGGACTGGGCTTAAAGCCAGAAGAAAATGACAACCTTGAAAGCATGGAAAGTTTATTTTTTTCCTCAAATCCTCTCATCTTTTGGATACTGATATATGATCATTGACTAAAATCTAAGCCTCTAAGCTCTGATATGTGGCTGACGAATGACTTAGGTATTTAAAAAGTGAAAAATAAAATTTACCATTGCTGGAAGATTAATATCTATGAAAAAATAATAAAGAGATAAAAGGAATTGCTACATTATTTGTTTCACTTGGTCATAAATAGCATTACAACCAAGAGAAAATGGTTAGTATAAAAAAACGGAAAGAAATTTTCCTACATTTGAAAGAAGCCTGAGTCAAAATACTAGCTAGGTTCACAGTACAATAGAGAAGCATCAAAGAGACTTCAGTTCTAAACCTTTTCTCCTTCTTAAGCAAAGAAATATTTATGATTGGTCTTAGAGGGGAGCTTAACTGAGTTGCCATGAATTATTTAAAAACCCCAAAATACCTTCTGTTGCTTTTATGGAAGCTTGATTTACCAGTTGAAAAATCAAACTGACAGTTTAGTCTCTCATACAAATACTCGACCTTTTAAAACGCTCTAGCATTATAAATATATCTTTCATGAATATAGCTTCAGCAGTTCTAAAAATAGCCTTTAGGAGGAAAAAAAACCTCTTTCAAGCCATTGTTTTATACATAACAGCAGGAAACCAAACAGAACGTCAAAGCCAAAGTGATTAACACACTCAGTAATAAACATGAACACTAAGGATGAAATCTTACTCAAATACCTTTTTTTGACATTACTTGGGGTCTATGATGTAGCCCCACACCTGTGGCCAGAGATGATTCCAGGGCAGCCACATTCAGAAAGTAACTGTTGGGTCAGGAGCCTAAAATTTGCTTTGTGCATGAGGTGTACACAGCCCCATTCAGGACTGACCCTGAGGCCCAGGTTTACTTTCCAGCACCCTAAAAGCTTCCCCCAGGCTCCACCCCAACCCCAAACACTGGACAGGGCTAGTTCCATACCACTTCTCACAGGTGAAATCCAGGTTGCCCAGAAAGCAGAAGGTGAGACTGACACACTCCAGTGACTTTGGCTATAGGGACCTAACGTGGGGATGTGAAAAGGCTAACAGCACCTTATAATCTGGTGCCAGGTACTCTATTGATTTCAACATGGCACTCTCAATAAAGCCTATGCCATGTCTCCAAGTATCAGATCTTATAGGACCAAAATATTCTGGGTTCCATGGTCTCATAGGTTCAAGTACAGAACCATGGCATTGTCTCTTGAAATAATAACCACTTTATATGAATATTCTGGTCTAACTGCCCATGAAACTCCAAATCAATCTTATGATGTGCAGACATTCTACTTTTTAATAATTCAATATGGAATCACCTCAATTGGTTTCATAATAGATGACATCCGAAATTTATGATATGGTAGACAGAATTTCTTCAGGGACGAAATTTCTGAAAAACTGAATGTATAAGCTAAAGGAATCTTATTCTTGATTTTCTGATGTGAACAAATAATCAAGTCCAAACTCCAGCTGAGAGTGGGAGAGCCCTTTATAAGCAGCAAAGGAGAGAAGGAAAAGGGAAGCCAAAGCCACAGTCATTAAGGTCAAAAGTGTTTTCTCATCATTTTTCATTCTTTATCATTAGAGTTGGAGGGGGGACTTAAATCAGTACTACTGGCTAATTTTCTTCTACAACAAATATAATCCACATTCGCATGTTCTTCTTCTGAAAACACCAATTGTCCTAGGATTTAGCACACCTAATATTTCAGACTAGCATCCTTGGAAAAGCCTAACATTTTGACTGGAAATATACTTTTTTAATATTAATAGGATCTTTAAGTAAGTTACAAAGGGTCATATAAAATGGATATACTTATATACAATAAATAAGATAAATACCTTGCAAATCAGCAACCAACTGGAAAATGTAAGAAAGACAAATATCATTTCTTACCTTGTTTTGATCTGTCCAGTAAAAGAAAAATCCCTGAGGGTCAGACCTCAAAATAATTGGAGTGACGATAGTGGAGTC